AAAAAAAAAAAAAAAAAAAAAAAAAAAAAAATCAAGTTTCAACTTTCAAGCGCCTGTTGACACATTTCATTGATCAGCATGTTTATTGTGCTTATGGAAAGTACGGTTGGTTAGTTTGGCTTGTTTTATGTTTGTGGATCTATTGAATGAACCCCTATTAATCCTCCTTTTTAAAGTCTTGTAAGTTTCTTTCAGCTGCATATTTTTGTTTTCTAAAATTAATCGGCCGTTCTTGCGTATTGGTGCAGATATATTTGGGATTTGCTTTGTTTTCCGTTGTGTTTTTCTCTGTCACATTTGATTTTGTACAGCGGTCAAAATCTGCAAAAGTTATGGAAGGTGAGTCTTCTTGTTGTGCTTGATTGTTGCTGGTTGGGGCTGTTGTTGCTTGTGGTTCTTGGTGGTGTTGGTGGTGGTTATTGTTGTTGGTGGTGTTTTTTGGTTGTGCTGGTTATTGTTGGTTGTGGTGGTTGTTGTTGGTAGGTGGTGGTTGTGGTGGATCTTGTGGGTTATGGTTGTTGTCGGTTGCTGCTTGTTGTTGGTTGTTGCTTGTGCTTGTGCTTGTTGATGTTGTTGTTGTCGTTGTTGGTTGGTGTTATTGGTTGCTGTTGTTGGTTGCTGTTGTTGGTGGTGGTGTGGGTGTTGGTGTGGGTGTTGGTGTGATTGTCGGTGTTGTTTGTGTTGGTGTTGGTGCTGGTGCTGGTGCTGGTGCTGGTGCTGGTGCTGGTGCTGGTGTCGGTGTCGTATTGGTTTTGGTGCTGGTGCTGGTGCTGGTGTTGGTGTTGGTGTTGGTGTTGGTGTTGGTCATCATTGTTGTTGACTGTTGTTGGTGGTTGTCGGTGGTTGTCGGTGGTGGTGGTGGTTGGGTGGTGGTAGTTCTTGTTGGTTGTTGTGGACTGTTGTCGTGGGTGGCGTGGTGGTTGATGGTTGGTGGTTGGTGGTTGTTGTGATTGTGGTTGTTGGTTGGTGGTTGGTGGTTGTGGTTTGTCATTGGTATTGGTTGCTGGTTGCTGTTTTTTGTTGGTGGTTATGCCGGTGTCTGTTGTTCTTTGTTGTTCTTTGTTGTTGTTTATTGCTGTTTGTTGTTGGTTGTTGTTGTTTGTTGCTAGTGGTTGGTCGTCGTTGGTGGTGGTGGTGGTCGTTGTTGGTGGTGGTGGCCGTTGGTGGTGGTGGTGGCCGTTGTTGGCAGCCATTGATGTTGTTGTTGGTGGTTGTTGATGGTAGTGGGTGGTGGTGGTTGGTGGTGGTTGGTGGTTGGTGGTTGGTGGTTGGTGGTCGGTTGTTGGTAGTGGGTGGCGGGTGGTGGGTGGTGGATGGTGGGTGGTGTGCAGTGGGTGGTTGGTGGTGGTGGTAGTGGTGGTGGCTGGGGATGTGGTTGTGGTTGTGGTTGGGGTGGTGGTTGTGATGGTAGCGGTGTATATCTTTATGACACGGGTTCGATTTCTTTTTTTTTTCTTTAAAAAAAAGAAAGAAGAAAAAACACTCCCACCAGTGCTAGTGGTGCTGATAAGAGCAGACACCGCTAGCACCTGGGGAGAGGCTCCATATATTGGTGGGGAGCATCACCTGCTGGAAAACGGGTCCAGCGTCCGTTATGCAAAATGATTCAGGAAAATTCAAGGGCATCAGAAAAAATCAGAAACTGGAAAACGCCTGCCAGCATTGATTACTCTGGGTTCCAGAGGATTGACTGAGCAGGTTGTGGAAGCGCGCTGCCGATGTCCACTCCAGCTGTATCCATCCACCCTTTCTAACCCTCTTCTTTGTAAAAGCATCTAGCAAAAGAAGGCAATCACCCACTGCTTGAAACTGGGTCCAGCTACCCTGGCCTGGAGACACCATGGGCCCACTGGGGGGCACCAGCGGGACCATGCGTCTCCCTGCCCATTTCTCACGCAGCTTACCTTGTCCTGTGGGACCTAGCCCGGGCTCAGCATCCCTTCTTGAAATACATAGATGGAAGTTCGCAAGTTTACAAGCTTGAGAAAGTAGTGCTACAATCGCTGGATCTCAGACCAATACTCTGCCATTCTGGAGACGACAAAGGGGATGTCTGTGACGCGCAACCTCACGCCCTGCGCTGTCTTTCGTTCGGAGTGCTAGATGTGCGGAAAGAGGCCCAGAAAAACAACAAGATGGGGTGTGCCAAGGATTCTTGGAAATTGAGTGTGGGGACACAGACGGAACTGAAATCCTCCGTGTTGGTCCGATGAAGTAAGTCGGTTGCCTTCGCGCATCGCGGAATGCGCGCACGGGCATGGCGTGAAAAGAAAAGAAATCCAAATTCAATCCAAAAAGTATTGTCGAGCTTCCCACCGTGCTACGGCCCGTCGTTTAGAGCAGAAGGGCTTTGGCACGCTTCGCGTGTCTCGTTTTCGTATCAAATCCCGTCGTCGCTCGCTGGTCAGTTCTGAGTCTAATGTGGAGGGTCTCAGCCGCGTGGCTCTTTCCTTATGCTCGTCTTCACTCCGTATTCGGTAGTGGAAACCCTTTGCTTCGTAGCGATCGAAACGCTGGCACTCTGTGCACAGGGTTCGAGGCCAATGRGGYGCYACTGCCRTCCACGGAATGACGATCARCTCGTTGAATGRCAACAATATCGAKTAKGGTGGAAAGTGMGTGTCGATAATCACAAACCCAGCCTCTACGAACCCTGAACAACGGTTTGCCGGAGGGAAGTAGTATCGTCCGCCGATCTGTGCGACAGCTTCTCGTACGTCCCACTCACATACACACGTCCTTTCCTCGTTGTAAGGAAAAGGTCGTGTTGATACGGGAGGTACGGGAGGCTGACGCCTGATCGAAGGGTGCTTGTCAGTCCACATGTCAATCAATTGCAAAAACTCCGAGACGTCATCAAGGAAAGGCTAGAAACGCCCGCGCAACCACTAATCAATCATTTGTAATCACGAGAGAGAGAAAACACTCATCAATTGGGTCAGGTGCAGGTGTCGTGCAGCATAAGGCAGATGACATGTGCAACGCACTCAGAATTACAGATCTAAACACTCTTGCATTCTCGGACAAAATCCCTACAACAATCGTCTAATCAATGCAAAGAGACGCGTACCTCCATACATACATTCACTGTGGAAGGTGCGAAAATGATATATGCACAGGGATAAAAGATGGATCGCTGAATAATACACACGCATCCACCGTTCACAGGACAAGAAGACGGGGTTCTTGCATAGGGGGACTACCCAGGAAACTAATGGAGGAGTTCCGGAAGAAGTTCTTTCACCTAGGAATAACATGCAGACTCATTCCCATGAGAGAGAGAGAGAGAGAGAGAGAGAGAGAGAGAGAGAGAGAGAGAGAGAGAGGGAGAGAGACATCGAGACGCATCATCATTCAAAGATAGAGGAGAGAGAGAGAAACGCGGGAGGAATGTCGAGATAGAAGTGGACAAGATCCGAGAAGAGGAAGTTCGGCGTTGCCGCCGTACACTCACGCCAGAGATAAAGATCCGCAACAACAAAGGCGCATTCGCCGTGAATTCCAATATGGCCCCAGGCCAATCACTCACTCAACTCCAATCATCGATCCTCGTACCCGCACCGATGATCCCGGCCGCCGCGTGCTAACTCCCACCACTGCGATCGTCACCCCGTCGACGTAAAACTCGATGCGGTTCGCCCAGATCCCACAGTCCGTCGTGGCGATCAAGCGCGCAACCGGCCAGCCTATTGCCAGCCCGACAGGACTTTCCGACTCGCACCAAACACTCTGCCTAGCCACTGCTTCCCGGAAGCTGGCTCAGGAGTCGAGAACGTAAGAGAAATTCGCGGGCGCGCTTGCGGAATTTATAGCAGCGAGGAGGGAGCCAAGGGAGGGAGAATGCAGGGGGAAAGTCAAAGTGTAAGAGGAGAAGCAGGAGGAGAAGACTTTGAGAAGAGTGCTTCGCGGAAGCCATGTTGATGCTTCGAAACTCAAGATTAACCAATCAGACTCGTCGCGCAATAGGCAGATCCTACCGTACCCCGCGTGTGATTGGTGGGCGGGAGTAATCGAAGGATCGACCGGACTTCACAAGCTTCGCTCGAGGGGCGAAAGAAAAGGCGCGAGAAGTAGCCCAAGACGGGTCCAAGATTCAGATGATCAAGAAAGGGGAAATGGACGTACAAAGAGCTGAGCGGGAGAGAGAGAGAGGGAGAAAAACAGTTACGAGGGGAGAGAAAGAGGAGGGAGAAGAAAAAAGCAGCGTAGGAGAGAGCGATGCGGAGGGCAGAGAGGAGAAAGCCTTGCATGCGCGGCGCCATCAACAAAAAGGAGAAAAAGGCACCAAAACAGTTACAGCTTGCCTACGTCCTAAACCAATTCAAAATTGAAATCACCATATCCGCGCGTGAAAGAGTGACGCGGGAAAAGAAAGTCCTACGCCTATTCGTATCCCCACAAAATTCGGAGAGTTTTCCCCGACGCGACCAAGAACATTCACACACAAAAAGGACACGTCGAAGTTTCGCTTATCCCGGAATTCCCAACTGCCGGACCCAATTCCCAGTGCGCTCGCTAAGGCGCACGTAAATTCCTAAGTATTTCCCGAATTGCAAAAAGAAAAAGCTGAACCCGGGAATCGTAAAAGCTTCCGAAAGATGGTGGCCCAAAACGTGGCACCCGAAATCAAGAAAACGAAACGGGGTTTTTTATGGGGTTGACATGATACAAAAAGGAGGGGTACGAAAGATAGCACGGGTTCGGGAAGTAGTTCGTCACATATGTGACGCGCAGGGGATTCCAAAATTATGCGATCTCCTGATTGCATGTTATGGCGGAGAAGGAGAGAGGGAGAGAGAGAAAAGAGTGATGCATGAGGAACCAAGCGTATCAACAAACGATCCAGCCAGAGTCCATGTTGACGCCATCTTCAATTGCAATCTTCTCATGGTTCTGATGGTTCGTGCTGCTGGAATCATCGATGGTCGTCCAGGTGACGCCATCATCGTCCGTCGGTTCTCCGCGTGCTCCGCACCCCAATTCATCGCTGCCCGTCGAATCAGAGCGTAGGTTGACGTCATCGTCGCTGGCGTGACCTTCGCGAAGCTTACTAATTCGTGCCGCTTTCCCCTGCGGATTAGATGGAGAGAGG